GGCAAAGACACATCAAAAAAAGAAAACTGCAGGTCAGTATTGCTGATGAACATTGATGTGAAATCCTTAACAAAATACTAACAAACTGAATTCAACAACACATTAAAAAGATCTTTCATTATGACCAAGTGGGATTCATCCCATAGATTCAAGGATAGTTCAACATATGCAAATCAATGTGATACATCATGTCAGCAGAATGAAGACAAAAACCATATGACCATTTTAATTGATGCTGAAAAAGCATTTGATAAAATTCAACATCATTCTATGATTTAAAAACCTCAAAAAAAACTGGGCATAGAAGGAATATACCTCAACACAATAAAAGCCATATATAGCAGACCCACAGGTAGTATACTGAACGGGGAAAAATGAAAGCCTTTCCTCTGAGATCTGGAACAAGACAAATATGTCCACTTTAAACACTGTTATTCAACATAGTACTAGAATTCCTAGCTAGAGCAATCAGACAATGGAAAGAAATGAAGACATCCACCTTGGAAAGGAAGAAGTCAAATTATGCTTGTTTGCAGATGATATGATCTTACATTTGGAAAATCCTTAAGACTCCACCAAAAAACTAATACAACTGATAAACAAATACAGTAAAGTTGCAGAATACAAAATCAACATACAAAAATCAGTAGCATCTCTGTATGCCAACAGCAAAGAATCTGAAAAAAGTCAAGAAAGTAATCCCATTTTCAATAGCCATAAATTAAATTAAATACCTAGGAATAAACTTAACCAAAGAAGTGAAAGATCTCTATGAAGATAACTATGAAACATTGAAGAAAGAAACTGAAGTTGGCTGAACGCGGTGGCTCATGCTTGTAATCCCAGCACTTTGGGAGGCTGAGATGGGTAGATCATGAGGTCAGGGGATCGAAACCATCCTGGTTAACACAGTGAAATCCCATTTCTACTAAAAATACAAAAAAATTAGCCAGGCATGGTGGCGGGCACCTGTAGTCCCAGCTACTCGGGAGGCTGAGGCAGAAGAATGGTGTGAACCTGGGAGGCGGGGCTTGCAGTGAGCCCAGATGGCGCCACTGCACTCCAGCTTGGGCGACAGAGTGAGACTCCATCTCAGAAACAAACAAACAAACAAACAAAAAACAGAAAAGAAAGAAAAAAGAAATTGAAGAGGACACAAAGCAACATATTAATGGATTGGACAAATTAATATTGTTAAAATGTTCATATTACTCAAGCATCTACAGATTCAATGCAATCCCTATCAAAATACCAATGACATAAATAGAAAAAATAACCTTACAACTTATATGGAATCACAAAAGACCCAACTTATATGGAACCACAAAAGACCCTGAATAGCCAAGCCATCCTAAGTAAAAAGAACAAAACTGGAGAAATCACATTACCTAATCTCAAATTATACTACAGAGCTATAGTAAGCAAAATAGCATGGTACTGGCATAAAAACAAGACACAGACCAATGGAACAGAATAGATAACCTAGAAATAAATCCATACATGTACTGTGAACTCATTTTAAATAAAGGTGCCAAGAATATACATTAGAGAAAGGACAGTCTCTTCAACAAATGTTGCTGGGAAAACTGGATATCCATGTGCAGAAGAATGAAACTAGACCCTGTCTCTTGCCATATACAAGAATCAAATCAAAGTGGATTAAAGACTTAAATCTGAGACTTCAAACTATGAGACTATTAATACTACAAGAAAACATTGGGGAAACTCTCCAGGACATTGGACTGGGCAAAGATTTTTTGGGTAATTCCCCACCAGCACAGACAACCAAAGCAAAAATGGACAAATGTGATCACATCAAGTTAAAAAACTTCTGCACAGCGAAGGAAACAACAAAGTGAAGAGACAACTCACAGAATGGGAGAAAATATTTGCAAACTATCCATCTGATAAGGGACTAATAACCAGAATATATAAGGAGCTCAAACAACTCAATTAGGAAAGAATCTAGTAATCCAACTGAAAAATAGGCAAAAGATCTGGATAGACATTTCTCAAAAGAAGATATACAAATGGCAAATAGATATATGAAAAGGTGCTCAACATCACTGATCATCAGGGAAATGCAAATCAAAACCATAATGAGATACCATCCCATCCCAGTTAAAATGGCTTATATCAAAAAGACAGGCAATAACGAATGCTGGTGAGGATATGGAGAAAGGGAACCCTAGTACACTGTTGGTGGGAATGTAAATTAGTAAGCCACCATGGAGAACAGTATAGAAGTTCCTAAAAAAACCTAAATATAGAAATACCATATGATCCTGCAGTCCCACTGCTAGATGTATATCCAAAAGAAAGGAAATCAGTATATCAAAGAGGTATCTGCACTCCCATATTTATTACAGCACTATCCACAGTAGCCAAGATTTGGAAGCAACCCATGTATCCATCAAAGACAACTGGATAAAGAAAATGTGGTACATATACATAACAGACTACTATTCAGCTATAAAAAAGAAGGAGATCTGTCATTTGCAAAAACATGGATGGAACTGGAGAACATTATTTTCAGTGAAATAAGCCAGGCACAGAAAGACAAACTTCATATGTTCTCACTCCTTTGTGGGAGCTAAAAACTAAACTGAAATGGAGATAGCAGAATGATGATTACCAGAAGGCTGGGAAAGGTAGTTGTGGGGAGTGAGAAATGGGGATGGTTAATGGGTACAAAAATATAGTTAAATAAATGGATTAAGATATAGTATTTGATAGCACAACATGGTGAGTATAGTCAACAGTAATTTGTTGTACATTTCAGAATAACTGAAAGAGTACAACTGGAATATTCATAACATGAAGACATGATGACTGTTTGAGGTGATGGACACCCCATTTACCTGATGTGATTATTACACATTGTGTGCCTGTATCAAAATATCTCATGTACCTGATAATTACGTACACCTACTATATACCCATAAAAATTAAAAAATACCACCAAATTAAGTTTGCCAAGTCAGTAGTTCTCAAATTTGTTCAAATTGTAGAGTTCCTGGAGCTGGTAATTCATTTTGATGAGTATTATAAATGTTGCTATCTTAAGTTTAACACATGTAATTTTTTGCTTAATTAGATGTTATACAAAATTCTAAATTAGAACAAATGATTGCAGGAGCCAACTACTTTGAAAAATTATGAGGGGAAAATTTACAATAGAAAATTTTAATAATTTTTCTGCAAATTAGAAAATGCCTTTCATTTTACTCTGAATTCAAAATTCTTCTGTTTTTTGTCTGTAAGATGAAATCCAAATTTGGGGGACTGGTGTTTGGGGCATACATGTCTTTTTATCCTTCTATTTCTACTAATTCCCTCCATGACCTCTCTGTCAGAAAAACTGTGAGATACATACTGGTCTTAAACTTGTTCTATATGGCCTAGTCTTCTATTTGTTAAAAGATAGTTTTCAAAAATGGGTAAAATTGTTGTCATGCAGATATGCAGATATGAAACTGAACATGTGTTAAGAGTAATCTATTCATTAATCAATGAGGGGACCAGGTAGATGTTATAATAACCAGCTCAAAAGAGAACCCTAAGAACAGACACATTTATAGATCAGGAATATTCAAATGAATGTGTAAATGGAGGCAGCACTGATTTTTCCACGTGGGGAAAGGGAGTCAGCTGAACTTCTACAGACAGGATAGACTGCATGTCTACAGAAATTATTTAGTCTTGCTATCACTCATTTATAACTTACAGAGTTGTAAGATAGCCCAAGGACAGTGAAAGCGTAGAATCAGATGACTGAAAAGGTATGTTGTATGTGGATAATGCATAGTTTTCCACTAAAGCATAATTTTTTCCTATACACTTGGTCTTGTTTTTTCCTGTCTTTCTGGATATTTAATTCCCAGCTGACCTTTAATATCTGCAGAAATGAGTTTTCTCCCTGTCTTTTTCATGTAGTCCTTACTGTCTAATTATTTACTTGCCATTTACTTGTATGGTACAGTATTGTTAACTATCTTTTTAGCATTTTTAAAATCTACTTAACTATATCATAAGATAATTTTATAGTCAGAAATTATATCAAATGTTAGACACTCAGTGATTATCTGTTGTTTGGAAAGAATATCTTCTCCCTCCTTTTTACTGTGACCTAAGTTCCTTAAACCTCTACCACTCCCTCCAACAACGTCAACAATGTCATGTTCAGCACTAATATATCTTGTGTAGCCTGGAATTAGTGAATTCTTAATATTGGATTCCCCAGAAGAAAATCAGTATATTCAACTAAAAACAAAGCAAAAACCTTGGTTGACAACCTGCTATGTAGGCATAGCTTGAGTTCAACATATGTCTTAAAGAGGTTTCGATAGTTTAAATAGGTGTGATTTTTACCTAATGTTTAATAGCTATTTTCCATTTCTATCCATTTTCAACAGGTATTTACTTATGTTATCAGTTGTGCAAAGTGGGGAGGGATATTTGACTTGGGAATGAGGGATGTTTTCTGCTTCCAAAATACACGTCCTACAGAAAACCAAACACTGCATGTTCTCATTTATAAGTGGGAGCTAAAAATTGGGTATGCATGGACATAAAGGTGGGACCAGTAGACACTGGAGACTGCAACAGTAGAAAAAGTGGGAGGGGGGCATAGGCTGAAAAATGAACTATTGGGTACTGAGCTCACTGCCTGGGTGATGGGTTCAATCCTACCACAAATCTCAGCATCGTGTGATATACCGTTGTAACAAACCTGCACATGTGCCCCCCGAATCTAAAATGAAAGTCAAAAATAAATACCCCCTACATAAACAAAATCATGAAGCCGTAATTCCCAGAAAAACAATTATATTCAGCTCATTAATTATGTGCTTATTTTCTTTATTGGTATTTACAAGTATATTCCATGTCCAAAAATTCTTGTTTTTTAAGTGTTTTGTCAGTTTTAGCTAAATATTTTAGTTATCAGTAAATAATGTTTATTTTTTCCAAGCACTAATTACACAACTCCACTTCTTTAGATGAGAGATGCTGACAAACATTATATAAAACCAATTACAAAATGTGAAAGTAGCACACAGACGGATACACACATACTGCCACCAACAATTGTGAGATCATATGAGTGGAATGAATGGGAATTAAGAAGAAAAGCTATAAAATTGGTTTGTAACAATATTTTCTAAAATTATATGTTGGGGAATTTTAATCTGTTGTTAAAGAGTTGGTAAATTATTTATATAAAATAACGAGTTTTATACAGTGTTCTTTGCTAACAAAAATATAATTTATAATTTGCTAGGTTTACATTATAAGATTGTCTTCTAATTTTAAGCATATGTAGAACAATGGTAATTATCTATCTATCTATCTATCTATCTATCTATCTATCTATCTATCTATCTATCTACCTATCTATCTATCTGTCATCAGTTTTAAAACTTGTTGCTCGTATTTAAAGCACTCCCAACTTCCTTTAATCACTTAAGGTATACCATTCTTTTTTTTTTTTGTTTTTTGGACCTTTTCTATTAAAGCATAGATATTTTCCTGTGAACAACGTATTATCTCCAGACCCTGAGCACTCTCATCCTTCTGATTCTCAGACACCTTAATTACAATATACCTACCCTTAAAGCCTGTCTTCGAAACTCTCATCCCTGTCCAATTCAGTGAAATTCCCCCCACCAACCCCTCTTTATAGTATCTTGTCATTTTAAACAACGAATATTTATAGTATGGAAAAAATAAAATCTTTTATGTCTGTAGCCCCTTTTTAGTATATTTTATCCATCTCTTTAACTGAAATCAGGTGTGGAAATAAAATGCCTACCCAAATGTGAACAAAGGGAGGCTATTTATTTAGAGCTTGCTATAGCAAGGGAGTCAGACACTGTCACTTGTTTGGTAGACTGAAAGCATGCAGAGGAGTAGGAAAGCTTTATAGTCAGAAAAGGGGGAAGCCTTTAGGTGTTCTCTGATTGTAGGTTGTTAACATGAGAAAACTGGAGGCAGGCTAACTAGAAGCAGGGCATTTTATGTGATTGGTTTGGTGAGCATATCTAGGTTTCTCTGGTTGGTCCTGAGTTGGGGGAGAAGGAGCCAAAACATGGAGAAGCTGGCTAAGTCCTCAACATTCTGGGTCAATTGCTACAGCTACAGAGGTTGAGACTGGCTTCCCTGACTGGTCGATACAGAGGCTGCAAGTTAAGGAGTTCTATTGTCACATATGGTCTAGCCTTTGTCCATTTGTATATTCAGTCTCTCACAGGCTTCCCACTGACCACATTATTTCCTTTGCTACTCACCCTGGTGGCAGCTTTTCAGTTCCCTGGCATGAGGAAGGATCAGTTTCCCTATATATCTTCCAGATCACTGTTCCATTAGTATTCCTTCCTATCAGTTACTCTTCTGTAGTTCAAGAAATGCCCAATCCCCATATTATTTTCTATTATCTACTAAACTCACTTGAGTTCATCAGACTTATTAGGTAACATATATATCCCACTACTTTGTTCTTCATGGGCTAATTGTCTAGCAAGTGATATTGTTACATTAAAAATATTTCAGTACCTCCTTGTAAGTGGTGTAACAGAAATGAAATGAAAATTCTACTAAATTAACATAGGTGATATTTTAGGTTGCTTTTGAGATACAAATAGGCAAAGAGGAGGAGGGAAATGATGGCTGGATAGGATACGAGAGATAGAGGTGGCAACATAGGTATGGACTGGAAATGTTAAGAGAATGGGGTATTCAGGGGTCTGAACTTCACACTGACTGAGCCCTCTCTTCCCATTCCTCAATCTCCACTTAATTCTGACTCTCACCTTGGGCCTTATTATTCCCTAGAACTGTATTATATTGAATGCCAGCTCCCCAAGTGTCACCTACCCAACCTGTGGATAAGACAAAGCTGAGTTTACTGCTTATAGCCATAAGGGAAAACACCACCTCAACAGTGCTTTGGCCGTGTCTCAGAAGAGGAACTGCAAAGTCAGAATTTATTGAAAATTTGAAGTTTGCTAAGGCAGGTCTTCCAATGACTGAGATGGACTGGGGGTAGGATGGAGGTCTGAATCGGATTGGGTAAGGATCATGAAAAAGCAGTCCAGCATTGGTGGGAATAGCAAGAAGATTTTTTGAGGCAAGGGATGCAGACTCTTAGGACTGAAACTGTGTGCTGATGCTTACTACTGAAGAGTTGACACATCTTTGAGGTAGTACTGAAATGAGCAATCAAGTTATTTGCTTAGGCAAGAGTCTCTTGGAATGGTAAAATTATGCTAATGAAGACAGTGGAATAGTAAAGTCTTATTAATGTGGACAATAACCTGGGTGTTGGGGATTAGTTTCGGTTCTCAGTCATCTACAGTATCTCAAACTCTGAAAATGTTTCCTCTAATTCCAGGTGTCTCCTTCTTCACTCACATGCTATAATGCCTTCTAAGGTTTTTCATGGCCTTTACTATAACCGCAGCAACCTTATTCTTCTTTTTATAAGCTCCTCCTTGCTTCCCAGCCTGAGTAATCTGTTTAACCTCACATTTACTAGTAATCTATAAAGGGAGTAAGCAAAATGTAGAATACTGTAAAATACAAATGGAAAGCATCAGACCCTTTTATGTTAAAAATCTAGGGTGAAGCCCATTTTTAAAAGATAATACTGTATATAAATCTTAAATTTTTGTCAAAAAAAATATAGTGGAAAAATCCAAGTTATAAGAATCTCAAAGTATAATAATGAAGGAATTAGATTATATTAACAAATAACTGGTTGAGTTCACTGTAATTTTGAATCTGTATGTTTTTTGAGGTCAATTTTCAACATTTTACATATTTTTCTACTTCTTGGTAAGGAATATTTAATTTTCTGTTATGTTCTAGATTTTCCAGTGTTTTATAGAAAAAATGCTATGTTATGGAATTAATTTCTTATGGATTGAAGACAAAAATAGGCAGATATTAACTGGTATCTGATAATATTTCAGGTTATTTGTTCTTTAGAGAAATGTTAATTCCTGTATTCTCTTTCTCTTTAGGCTAATTTGCACCAGAAAGTTACTCACTCAGTACAGACTGATCTCAGTCACTTGAGAAGAGAAAATTGTTCCCAGGTGTACCCTCCAAAGGACACTAGCACCCAGTCCATGAGGGAAGACAGCACTGGGGTGCCCAGGCCTCAGATTTACCTGGCTGGTCTTCGTGGAGGAAAGAGTGAAATCACCGATGAGGTCAAGGTGAATTTAACTAGAGCTGTGGATGAAACCTAATTAGAGACAACGTTTTAAAGTAGATGCTACTCAATTATGAACACTAGCAAGTACTTAAAGGTATATTAACATCTATAAAAATTAATTTTGTGGGGTGGCACATTCATTGGTTGTATGTTTATTGGGTTCCCACATTTTATCAAACTGTTTTCTGTAATACAGTTTTCATTCTGTTGAAAAATAAAACTGTCCATTTATCTTTTATTTGTTAGAAAAAGTTTGTCAGCATTAAGATTGAAATTATAACATTTAGATAGAAATATATTATAAGATTATTACTGGAATAGAAGTCTATTTCTAAACCATATTTAGTGTTAAACATTACAAACTTAAAACCTAATCAATATTTTCAGCTTTATTAGCTATTAAATGTTACCATAGATTAAACTGATACGTAACAAAACCTTACTAATTTGGAACAATTGGAGCAAAGGTCCACGTGATGTTTTTTTCTCTTTCTTTCTTTCTTTCTTTTTTTTTTTTTTTTTTTTTTTGAGACAGGACCTTGCTCTGTCACCTAGGCTGGAATGCAGTGATATAATCACAGCTCACCACAGCCTCAACTTCCTGGGCTAAAGCAGTCCTACCTCAGCCTCCTGAGTAGCTGGGACCACAGGCGTGTGTTACCACATCTGACTAATTTTTAGAACAATTTTCTGTTGAGACAGAGTTTCACCATATTGCCCTGGCGGGTCTCGAACTCCTGGGCTCAAGTGATCCTTTCACCTCGGCCTCCCAACGTGCTGGGATTATAGGCATGAGCCACCATGCCCACCTCACAGGATGTTTTTCAAAATCTAGAAATTTGACATAAAATCTGTATTTTTGACCCTTCAAAAAAAGAAGAAATCAGAATATCTGCTAATGCTTGGCCAGCATTCCTGCAAGTAGTAGCTTTGCCCATTCACAAGGCAGGTACTTTCAATCCTCCACTGTCTAATCTAGTTCCTGCTGCCTTATGGGCCTCCCACATCACTGCTTTGCCTTATTTGCCTAACTGCATAGGCAGTTGTGTTTAAAGCTCCCATGAATTACTGATAGCTGTATTTTAGAACTGTGGTTTTATTACTCTCTTACATACTTCTAATACCAATTCATGGATAATAAAGCTTCTAGGAGGGGCTGTTTGACTTGCTTTAGTAGCTAGGAGGTCATTTTTATTTGGCATATTTTTTCTGCTCAGGTGACTTTTTACTAAAGCATTTGTATAATTTGCTTTCTGTGTAGCTTAAATGTTTTTGTTTGTTTGTTTTTGAGACGGAGTCTTGCTCTGTTGCCCAGGCTGGAGTGCAGTGGTGTGATCTCAGCTCATGGCACTCTCTGCTTCCTGGGTTCAAGTGATTCTCCTGCCTCAGCCTCCCGAGTAGCTGGCATTACAGGTGTGCACCACCACGCCTGACCAATTTTTGTATTTTTAGTAGAGATGGGGTTTTGCCATGTTGGCCAGGCTTGTCTGGAACTCCTGACCTCAAGTGATCTGCCCACCTTGGCCTCTCAAAGTGCTGGGATGATGGGTGTGAGCCACCGCGCCTGGCTGTTTGAATGTGATTTATACTATGAATATGCTTTGAAATGCATTTTCTGCATGTAAACTTCAAACCAACCTACTTCTAAGTTTTTGTGATTTTCATACCTGTAGTTTACAAATGATGTTTAAGACAGACTGGCTGGCTGTTAAGGCAGGGCCTGGAGGAGTGGGGTGATACTAAAATTTACAAATTCAGGAATGTCATTTTATCTGTTCAATTAACCGTTATTTGATTCTGCAAGATTCCTAAACACAGAAAAGAATGGCTGTAACCCGCAATTTGGGCTTATCAAGTTAAGGCTTGGAAGTAGAATGGCCAAGTGAATAAAAATACCAAATCCAACTTGAAAAGCCGGTCTTAATATCAGAGTCACCTGGTAAGTACAACAGAATAAAGGGAGCTACATCCAATGGAAAACTCATCCTCTCCCTGGACCTCCACCATGTATTCAAGCCCCATCCTTCTGAAGATTTCCAACCATATGCTGAATTTAATGTCTGATGGTCACCCCCATTTCAGCAGGTCACAGATCAAAATAACTTTCTGTGCCAAACTTGTTTCTTTCTCTTTATTTTCTTCTATTTACAAAGGCACCACTGCCTTACTCAGTAGCATAAGTTAAAAACTTCCTGTTTTTACTAGCCTTCAAGCTCTGTTCATTTGACCCGAATTGTCACTAAGATTCATATCTTCCTATTCTCCCCTCCCCTGCAGGACTTTGTCTTATTGCCTGGGTCACTGCTGCCTCCATTTTTTATATGGTTCATCAGGATGTTTTCTCATGCATAAATCTGATCATGTCATCTGGCCTCCTCTTCCCCCCAACCTTTGCCTCAGTTGCTTAAAAGTTACCAAAACTCTTGTCCACTTCCTAGGGAATGAACTAAAACATCCTTCATGTATTATGTAAAACTTTCCAAAATATGATCTCCATTTATCCTCCAGTTTCCTCTCCTACCCCTCCCATACTCTCTCCACACACCACACACATTAGCCAGATTGAACCAAAACTCTTCAAATAGGTCATGGTCTTTTTTAAAAATTTAATTAATTTATCTTTTGAGATAGAGTCTTGCTCTGTTGCCCAGGCTGGAGTGCAGTGGCGTGATCTTGGTTCACTGCAACCTTTGCCTCCCAGGTTCAAGTGATTCTCATGCCCCAGCCTCCTGAGTAGCTGGGACTACAGGCATGTGCCACCACGCCCATCTTATTTTTGTATTTTTAGTAGAGATGGGGTTCTGCCATGTTGGCCAGGCTGGTCTCGAACTCCTGACCTCAAGTGATCAGCCCACCTTGGCCCAAAGTGTTGGGATTACAGGCATGAGCCCAGCCCAAATAGGTCATGGTCTTTTATACCCCCAACTCTTAACTTGTGCTTTTCACTCTCTGCCCTGGAATGCAGTCCACAGGTACAGTCCTCAAAGAGTGTGATCAGACTTTATCTTTTCCATGAAAGTTTTCCCCATTTCTTTTGAGCAAGTTAATTGCTTCCTTCTTTAAGTTTTCATTGGATTTTATTATTACTTTTATTATAGCACTTAAAATAAATTGATGTATAGATAGTAGTACATCTGTATTCTTCCTGTTAGATTTGAATTTCTTGAGATTTGAATTATGTGTTAGTCATCTTTATATCCCCTGGCATTTGTACCTTGTTGGATAAATGAATGCATTAAAAAAAGAAGGAATGAAAGGGCAAACTAGAAGCAGGGTATTGGTTGAGTGATTATTTGAATAGTCAAGGTGGGAGCTAATAGAGTTCAGCAGTAAAGTAGTTATTGCAAAAGAAGAGGGAGAAAAATGGTAAAGAGGGAAGGGGAGATTATTTTTGAGGAAGTGCTGGCAAATAAAGTTGACTAAACAGAGTTGGATGGTGTACTTTCTAGAGGACTTTGTAAGCCAAGCAGAGAAACATTTTGCCTTCCTGTGGTAGAACATTAGAAAATCATGGCAGATTCTTGAGTAGAATATCGATTGTGGGAGAGGGATACTTGCTTTGGAGAGACAGCTAGGAAGCTCCTGCAAGAATTGGGGCATGCATGATGGGGGAAGTGGAGGGGCAAATGCTAGATTAAATTAAGCAGACAGGATATAATATCTAAGGAAAAGGAAGAAAAATTCAAAGTATGACCTCAGGCTTTCTGCCCTAGGAGATAAAGGATAACTGAGAACGGGAGCTGGTTATCAAAAAAGATAACATGTTCAGCACTAGAAAATTTGAGTTTAAGGGATGACAAGGATAGTAAAGCAGAGGTAATAGGAATTTGGGCTACACAAAGATAGTTTGGGAGGTCATCCCCATGAGAATGGGGGTTAAATGAGGAGGAAGAGAAGACAAAATAAGACAGAGTAGCAGTCAGAAGAGTAGAAAAAAGATGTAAAGTAAGCTCTGTGATCATGGAAAACAAGTCTAGCTCTTCTACTTACTAGCTGTATCACTTAACACCTCTCTGCTGCAGTTTCTGTATCATAAAAATGAGATAATAATAGTTCCAAACTCATTGATTGGGTTGTCATAAGGATTAAAGAAGTTAACACATACAAAGCACTTACCTGGTAAGTGCCTTGTCAATATTAGCTAAGAGAATAGAGATTCTCCAATGTCTATTGTATCCCCTTGCCCATTTTTCTTTACTTTTTGTTTTCTAGCCCTTGGTTAATCTTAGAATAACATTTGACACATTATGACTTTCAGAAAATGGTGAATAACAAAAGAGGATGATGGATTAGAGTCATCAATGGAGTAGGCAATTGCCAAACTCTCTTTTCATAGAGTTGGCTTGAGTGGAAATACCACTGAAGCAAAGCAAGCATAAAATGGTAGAAATAGGTACAAACCATCAGTGACTGGCAGGAAAAGGAAAGAGAGATTACGGTAATGAAAAAAGAAGAGAGAGGCAAGGGAGAGTTAAGCTCAAATATGAAACGTCTGGATACAGATGATTATTACTCATGTTTAATTCCTAGTCCAGACATTGAATTTTACATTATCTCCCTGTATCCTTTTATCAATTATAAAATGTGACAATTATTGGCTTCTTTTTAGTCATATTATACCATAGGAAATAATTGCTTTAAAATAAACAATAACTTGGGAGGCCAAGGCAGCAGATCACGAGGTCAGGAGTTTGAGACCAGTCTGGCCAACATAGTGAAACCCCGTCCCTACTAAAAATACAAAAAATTAGCTGGGTGTGGTGGTGTGTGCCTGTAATCCCAGCTACTTGGGAAGCTGAGGCAGGAAAACCGTGTGAACCTTGGAGGCAGAGGTTGCAGGGAGCCAAGATTGTGCCATTGCACTCCAGCCCAGGCAACAGTGCAACACTCTGTCTCAAAAAATAAAAATAAATAAATAAAATAACAATAAGTTAGCAAATAGGTTTCGGATGCTTAATAGCACAATGAAAGTAATATGCTTAAATTGTCAGGGAAACAATTTTATTTTAGTATCTATATCTTGTCTATATGTTCTTTATGGTTAACTGTTTACTATTCTTTGAACATTACCACATTTAATAATCTATTATATAGCCACCATATTTGAATTCAATTATAACCTCCTTAAGCCTTTTGGTATTTGCTTCCTCACAGCCTTTTTGTTTAATTAAGTTCATACTTTTACTTTATTACCAATGGATACAGTACTGGGCTTCTTTTTATACACATCATTGAGACTAGGGTA